ATGTATGTATGTATGTATGTATGTATGTATGTATGTATGTATGTATGTATGTATGCATGTATGTATGTATGTATGTATGTATGTATGTATGTATGTATGTATATGTATGTATGTATGTATTATATACATGCATTCTAAGCATATAGGTAGGGCCTACTTACAGAGCCAAGGCCTATGCAGACTAGCGCTGCAACAAAGTTCAATCGCATGATGACAGACAGCACCTGCAAAAATAACATAAATGATCAATTTCCACTTGTTTTTCTGATATTATAAACATGCTCTATTTACTTTCTCGTTTTCATTTTACCCATACATTCAGGAAAATTTGCCCTTTCGACGCGTTATTTACGAGAACACATAACAATACAGACTAAAACAACATTTCAAAACTCAATGAAAGATTTCAATGCACGATCACGAAGTTCATGTGTAACAGTATAGCAACGTAGATGTGAGACCAAATGATGTTAACGCCTGCCTCGTCAATCAAACGATCACAAGCACACACGCACGCACCTGTCACACCAGCACGACTGATTAAATACGTGCTAAACAAAAACGTGAACCGTTTTAAATCTATGCTATGCTGAGCGTGACCTGCCATGGCCTGCTGACCAGTTATTCTACCTGTCTGATAAATTCGGAGTAATATATGCACTTGTCTAGTGTTGAATTAGACACAAAACGTACGGTTTCGTTCATGGATTATTTCAGTGCCGCTATACCTGTACTCACGAGCACCCACTGCACGAACACCCACTGCATGATTGCAATCTAGGTCTACTGCGTGTTTACCTGCCTCTGATTATCGCGACCGACATACAAAAACGCGTTCTGTCCCGTGACGAAACCGTTTGAGTGAATAATATAATTGGTACGAACAATGCAATCGGTTCTACGTCGAGCCGGCTTTTCAATTAACATTCTCAAATATTTATTGTTCTACATTACCACGAATAACAATTATTTGAACAGCTCTCCTGTGTACCGTGATCTTTTGTTTGTAATAAAACTTACACATGTTCAATTATGAGCTGCGGGCCGACCGGAGCTTATGCTTGAATGTCCCCTATAGGGTACGGATCGTGCTAGCCAGGGCCTCACTTATATGTAACACCAACAATATGTAATACCATCAACTGTATACCTGCGAAGTTCCGACAAAATATGGGTGTCTGATGACAGTACTACATACTCTAGTTACCGACGAAAAAAACTACACGAGTTTCAAACGTTCTATACATAAATTAAATACACAGATATGTATGTCAACCCTGGTATGTTATTGTCATCGATGTCCAATTAGTGTAATATTCTATTAAAATTAATTTATGATTATGTTGCAAACAGAATATCTCAGATATTTACGATACAATTGCATTGTAATAATGGTTTTTATCTGTTAGACCCCGTAAACATAAAAAACAATATATATACACCAATCGTACTAAATCATCACACACCATACTATGTGAAACAAACGACAGAAGACAATTGTGTTCATAACTGCGGATTAAAATCATCAAGTAACTGGTTGAATATCAAGAAGATAAAGATTCACTTTCACCGTTTACTCGATGTCTAGGGCCTCTAACCTAGCAAGATCTTAATTACACTATTTATGTTCGGTAATAAAACAACTCTAAATAATGGTTATTTACCTATTCTAAGGACTTGCAAATGGAAAGTAGAAGCCGTCTGTATATAGCTAGCTAGAGCGTGTCACCCGTTTACGCAGACTGAATATCGACGAATTGTGCTAAATAACGACACAGCTTTCTTCTCCATGTTTTGGTTTATCGCGCTGAAAAATTACTATTTACATCAATCACACGATTACGATCGTTTTGATTTTAGCGCTCTTTGTCACGTTTTGATACTCATTAGAAATTTTGGAATGGATCAACAACTCTTTTAATTGTGTTTTTGTAAACATTTGCAAGGGATAGCGTATCTGTAATTCCCTCCGGCTATCACCATGCCTCATTCAATCCTTATACACTGATTATGTACCAGTATTATTGACTTATTACTTGATTATGTACTGTTCTTTAAAAGAGTAGAAATAACATTATATCCAACCGAAGAAGGTAATCGTTATTACTTATACAGTAGCGGTAAACGTGTCCATGCACATATGATCTATGATTCCTTATCTTATGTTTCCTCTGTCATATGGCAAACTTATTCGTATTACAGCTCTTGCCACGCGTGCGTCCGTAATCTGACATCACCATGCGCCTACGCTTTACCCTTTTGTCTACTTACTTGTTACTTGTCTTGCTAAGTATACTAAGAATACTAAGTATACTAAGTATACTAAGTATACTAAGTACTTGCTACTTGTTACTTGTTACTTGTCTACTTGTTACTCTGCTAATCACCGTAACTTACAATAATAGCGTTGAATGTGCCAATGACGTTAACGGCCACGAGAACGAAGGGGAAGGTAATATGTGTACACTGTAACTGTAGGTGACCTCATAGCATATAATACTTTATAATTTTTTAATAACTAATGGTAATTACTAATAAATAAAAGTTGAATGTAAACACAAACTAGTTGCGCTTTCATGCGCAAAATACAGCGCATATCTACAATAAACCCCTTTTCGAAATTTTATTAAAACAATCAGCTAGAAGGCGCCACATTACAATGGAATGTAACCTAGAGCAGCACGATGTGCTAACACCAAGTTCAGGTATATTCCAAACGGAGCACACATACGTGAGCTGAGAAACCTACTAATCGCAGTACTCAGTGAATTAATTAGAAGGCTGTTAGTTTTCCCATAGTTTAGCAGACGAGGCGTGTGCCAAAATGTAGTTCAGACATGAGCTATATATATCGCAGAAGAAATCTTGATAGTACAACCAAATAAATACACATCCTTAGATAACTATATCCCTTGAACGGTTCTGTCAGAGATATTAAATTTTGTGAAATAATTATAGCTAAGCGATTATTAAATAAGTCATATCGGCGCATAAACCTCGCACTGCGCATATGCACGTATGGCGTACGCGTATTGTAACAGAATCATTGCTTGCGGGAATCGAGCGAGTGTCGTAATAGATACACATTTCGAGCTATCTATTTTCAAATCTATCATTACCATTAATTACCGAAATGTATCCACTCTCAAGCTGTTCCATGATCATGACCGATATCGACACACGAACTACGCTATAGTGTCATTTTCTCCCACTCACGTAGGCCTATATGCTATATGCGAGAAATATGCGCGTGTATTCTCTCGTGCACACACGTACACTGATATACACACCTACGCGTGTACGCCCTAACACTAGCGGGCAAGAGGCCGCACGCATTTGAGATAATGCCCTCAACTAACGCGTGCGCATGCGTAGTTCACTCGCCTATGGGTGTTTGTGCTGTATCAGTCGGACGGAATAGGTGTCAAATAATTGTGATAACAGTATAAATATGTTAGCAATTTTTCGCGACAAATGGACGGAGCCTTTTCATATGCATCTATCTTCGTCTGCCCATGGTTACAGAAGTATATCGCTATGCAATATATCTGTCGGTTCACAGAATAAATACATAATATATTATAATTTTAGCAGGCAATAAATAGAGAAATAAATGTATGTATAAACAACTTAATTGATATATTTTACTAATTATCGCAATGATGTCGACATATGTCGGACCCTAGTTATTCTTTGGAATTTCAAAATTTTTACGTGGTTCGACAGGTTGGAATATTATGCACAAACCGTTATAGCCGCTTATAGAGTGACCTTATATATTCTAAGCTATAACGGATTAACCAGGATTGGTGGAACGTGAACACGTGTGCTGCACGCGCACCTTATGTCTGCGTCGGCGTCTGCCGTATTCATCTGTCGACGATTGCCCCCCGCCACGTCGTCGCACAGCTCTTGCAGGCGACTGCGTTGGCGATAAACGTGATGACGTGGCCATAGTCAGCCGTGTTTTATAGGCAACCAATTCCTCGCCTTACGCGACTACGCACACTTTCATATATATATATATATCGAGTAAGTTCTATAGCTCTTCCAGCTTAAACGGTGTCAATGAGTCAGTTCGTATACTATCGCGCCTATGT